CAGCTTAGTATTGTTCCATTCTCACCATATTTTTGTCCTTAAACATAAAAATAGAGACCTTAGTTCTGGTATTATGACCGACACAGCTTGACTAAGGGAACATACACAGAAAAGCTGTGTGGAAATAGGGGTTAACCGCAGGTCAGGGCAAATCAGGTAGCAAAAGGAAACTTGTGACTCATGAGAACATTAAAATCAGAAAAAGGCCTTCGCAAGTATTAGTTTGTCTCTGCCGATCCCGTCTTAGATTCTAAAACTGCTAGCATCTTTCTTCATTCTGTACAGAGAGCAAGCAGAAAACTGACACCCCACTGGTTTAGATTCTATCACGTATTTTTAAACATTGCCTCAAGTAGAGGGAGCAACGTCAAATTCGTTAGGCTGTGCAAGGCCCAGGTGTGGAGAACGTATGCTGTAGATGATCACAGCACTAAGGATCATCTTTCCAACACTTACCATCAGCATCTACCTCGTTGATCATATCCTGCAATTCTGCTTCTGTTGGATTTTGACCCAATGACCTCATGACAGTTCCAAGTTCTTTTGTTGTGATAGTACCATCACCATCTTTGTCAAATAGGGAAAAGGCTTCCTTGAACTCTAGAGGCAGAAACAGTCCCATGGTTTAGTAATACCGCCACCATAAGAACGCAGCATATAAAGAAACATATCCCAGTGACTACGCCTTGAAGATTAAGCAGCATCTTTTAATCTAACTTGTCCATGTACCAGTAGAATTAACATTTTCAGAAGTTAAAAAAATGTGTTATAACCCCAGCCTATAACTACATACACTAAGCTTCAATATGCTATATTACTGCATGTGCATTATACCTCTACAAAGCATTTCAGCATCTTGCTGCCCGACTCAGTGGCACCATAAATAAACCTTCTCTTAACCAGCACAAGTTACTGGCACTCTGCTAAGTTAGAAGTTATTTAAAAGGCATTGATTTATTACCCATTAATACAAGCCAGTTTTAGGACTAATTGTTTGTTGCCTTTTCAGTTCAAGTTTGTCTTCACTTGCTTAAAAAGGTCTGTAGTTCTGCTTTGTCTATAAGAAGCTCACTCAAGAGTCCAGCAATTTTTATTTTTGTTTGTAAAACAATAAACATAGGACTCAGCTCAGATCTGAGAGTCTAGGACAATCATCTGGAATCCAAGAAAGCAGTCTAAATTAAGAGAAGCAACCAGTAATCTTCTGCAACTTCTTTGTTAAGTGCAAGAATATATCTGAAGTCATTGGTAAATTCATTTCGCTATTTTGTTTAAGTATATTCTTTTAGTCACAATAAGTCAACCAATAGAAAATATTTCTCATTATTAAGATACTTACCAGCAATCTGTTCTTCAGTCAGCTGATCAGCCTACACGAAGAACAGAACATTTTAGAACATCGTTTACCTCTGGCTATGCCAAGCCATGAGACACCTGACTTCCTTCGAATTTCAGGAGTACTGTATTATTACATTAACAAAGCAACTTTTAACCCCTGGAATTCTACTTCTGAAAGGAGAGATTCACTAACCAACACAATGCAGCTGTTTCTGAAAGCATATAAACTGGTTTCAAAACTGCACATTAGAATCTGATAACACCATCCTCCAGCTCAGTGAATCCAATTTGGTCAAGTGAAGAACACAGCAGGCTCCTCGTCAGAGGCATGAAATCCTGAATGACATGTTTAGGAGTTTCACATCACATCAGAGGTCACTTCCAGAAGCACATTGGCCCTAATACAGTGCAGGGGTATTTACAGATTTTTGGGCTAGTGACAAGTGTGCCACCTAGTGATCTAACACTACAAAATTCTCATGTTCCTTCCCCCGCCCCCAAACATCCTTCAAATATTACCCTACTGTACAGGAAATAGGAAGGACTGATGTACTGCAACAATAAGAGGAATTGCAGCTTAGTATTATGGAGACTTTTGCCATCTCCGAGAAAAGAGCCATTATCTAGTGCCACAATTGTTTTACTGTTTAAAACCATGCAGTCTGATTACACTGCCTTCCACTGATACGTAGGTTGTTCTAAATCTTGTCACTCATTTTAAGTGGCAAGACTGAAAATGTTTGCCCATGACCTTCTACATCATGAGGCCACTGTTCCATCCTAAGATTTACAGATCAGTGGGCAATTAAGTGGTCTTCTCCAGATCCTAACCATATTCTTCTAGAAGTCTCTTCTCTGTAAGGGTAGAGACACCACAGCAGCTCTGTTATTTGGCCTTGAAGAAGCTAAGCACTTTTTTTTTTCCCCTCAAAGAAAGTGTGCATTTCCTAATCACTTAGGGAAAAAAAAAATCACATTCCACATGCCTAGTCACAGATGCTGGAGAACACAATATAGTAACTCCTTTTAAACTCACTTTATAGGATAGTTTTACCAATACCAAAATAATTGTGTAGGTCAGAGAACACAGGCATCTTGTAACCCTTCTTTTGTCCTAAGACACCATTACTCTCAATTATAAAGCCACATAACTACATTAAAGAGCAAAAAACACAATGAAAGAATTAACAGGCTGTATGATCTGTCAGGCTCTTGCACAGAGGAACGGGTAGGTTTGAGAGATTGCTGTATGCATTAAATGACATACACAGTGCTTCCATCCGAAGATAGGGTTTTTTTTAAAATGACTTTTTAATCTCTATATGTAATGATTAAACAATTCCCCACACGCACACGGATTATTGGTGTGAGAGGAAAAAAGATGGGGTTCAATTTCTTAATTCTTATTTAATAAACTGCAAAAGATGTGGGTCCAAAAACCTAATTTGGGTTTCCAAATTTTGATTTTCCAGTAAATAGGTAGTTTTTTCTTAAAGATTACTGAAGTAATTTACATAACTAATGCCCTGCAGAATAGGGAAGAGCCACACCTCAGCGAAAGTCTCTAGCAGCACCAGTACTGCCCCATTATTTGGGGTTTGCTAGATGTTTCTAAGATCAGAATATTTTGAAATTAAAAGGAACTTCCACGCACTGCAACAAAAGTACACAGGTTGACCCAAAATCACCATGATATTCCATGGGGCTCACCTTCCCAAGCAACAGGCACAAACACTGCCCGCTCACCCCTAGCTACCAGGACAAAGGTACCTAACGCTAGAGCAATCACCCCACCCAGCCAAGTCATCAAATCCTGTCCTAGTGATGTCAGCCTTCCCCAACAGGAAGAAGGGGAGATGGAGAGACAGAACCGAGGAACACCCAGATTGCCAAAATGCGATTAGAGGTCAGCCTGCAACCGCTTCGCTGCTGTCATAGGAAGCGAAACGACCGGGAAAATCCCAGCCCTTGCTCTCTCCCTCTTTTACAAGGGCTCCAGGGCTGCACCGCAGCCTGACGGCCAGAGGACCGCGGGCTGCTCCCCGAAGCCCACCAACGATGCGTTTGCAAAGGCGAGGCAAACGCGGGCATCTCCAAGGCTGTGGTGCGGGGGGCTGAGCGAGCCGAGGCGTGCACCGCCCGGGGCGCAACAGGCGCCGTCCCCCGCCAGGCGAGCCGCAGCCACCCACTGCTGCAGTGCGGCCCCGTTTCCCCTCCCTCTCCAGCAACGGCTGCTGCACTCCGTATTGTCCACATCATGTCCTCGTCCTCCAGCTGGGAGGGCAGCTCCGTGCCGCAGCTAGCCTTTCCCGTCCCCTCCAGCCACTCGCTTCCCTCCCCCGGA